GAATACATAAAGAGACAATGGAATAAGCAAATTAAACAAAATAGCCCTTACCATTTGAAGCTCCTCCGGAGTGATTTCTCTAGCAGGAATTGGGCAGCACTTTCCAGGAAATATACCTGTACAAGTTAAAAATTTTCCATTTAATTATGACAGACAAATCAAAAGCCTGAATATGAATTTCATACCAAAAAAAGAAGAAGAAGCATAAGTCTAAAATACCAGCAGAAGCAAGGCTAGCAGCAATAGCTCGAAGACGATTTGGTCTTTCTGGATGTGGATGTGACTTCATTTCAATCTACACTACCAAGCAAGCAAACACCAAAGAGGAGCGCAAAAAGAGACACAAATCCCACATAAGTAACAAAATATGAGCAGCAACCAGACTCATCATACAGCTGATCTTGCAGAAACAAGAAATTAATTATTTTAGTTCTGTCAATAAAGTTAATATTTCTTTTCATGATTTGAGGTTACAACATTTTTTCCAATTGCAATAATACTTGATCAAATACACCATCCAACGGGGACTCCCAAAGCATAAATACAAAAAGAAAAGGAAGAAAGCAAAGAAATAATTGTAAGCCAGTAGTAAACAAACAAAGATCGACAAATAATGCGAGTAGAAAGTTATCAATACCAGTCAAAACTTTAAAGAAAGAAATAGAAGTAGTTCAACAGAAAACTTTGCAAGCAAACAGAGATAGATTACATATAACTAACGAAACTTTCCCTAAAATTGATACTTATATTCAAATTCTATACATTAATCTTATCATGGAAGGGTGTCAAACCACCATAAAAATATCATTCAAGTGGAGGATTTTAGGGACACATATAGAAAACGGTGCCATACCTCTGTGTGCAGCAACATTCTCTCATCAAACCCAACAGCTGTGGAACAGTTTGAAGATGAAGCCTCTGACCAAATATCTACACAAGAAGCATAGACAGATTAGGGTCGCAAAAATCGCATGCCTATCAAGGGAAATATTATAAGTTTCAGATTGTAGAGGAGTGCAACAATTCAATAGAATAGAGATCAAAATTTGATTAAAAGAAAGCATGCGTAGAGCTGGAAATCTCAGATACAAAATTTCACAACTTTTATCAGGAAACATCAGCCTACCACCTTGCAAGTACAAAGAAAACATGATTTACATTTGAAAAAGAAGTATCTATGACCAGGATCATATAGGAACGGTAAAATTGTGTTGGGACTTACTTGATTCTTGAACATATTACTTCATATGATTTGGATGTCAAAGAAATTCAGGATTCAGGTCAAAAACAGAAAATAGAAGTAAAATTCAACATAAATAACCTAAATTACGGAAAATTAGAACAGTGTGATAACAAGAGGCAAGTTAGCAATAACACATAGTGATGGCTTCACATTAAAATAAAATACTTAAATGCATTGGTAAATACTAAATAAGCAAGCAACAAAGTAGAAAATAACTCATCAATCCCATTTAGAAGAGAGATTCAGATGTCAGTATATGGTTAAGGTTGAAGTGGAACCCTATATAGTTACATCATCTAAATACGGTTAATTAGAAAGTAAACTTTAGGCAATCATTCCAATTCTCCAGAACTTGATCAAATTCTAAAATCCACTATTTTATTTTATTTTTAAAAACCCAATAAAGATGCTCAACACTCTACAACAATTCCACCCTGTTTTTGAACTTAATAACCATAATTTTGACCATCAACATTATGTGCATCAATAAGAGCTTGAACAGCGTTAAAAAGCAACATTATAAGGAAAAAATAGGAGGCACTATCACTGATAAAGAGTTAACATGGCAGTGTCATTCAATGAAAAAGCGGTTATTATTGAGTAATGGTTAATAGCTTCCCTTCTCTGCAAATCAAGGTTAACAGCCAAGCAAAGCACTGAACCATTGCCATGAGCCATATAGAGCACTTTAAAAAAATAAACAAATTCACCATGTAACAGTCAACAGGTATAACTAAATATGTTTTTGCCATACAATACTGTATGCAATTGCACAACCTCAATAATCTTTTCAATGCTGTATCATATGATTACAACTGATTGAACATAATGAAAATAGATTCAAGAACTCAACACTAAAGGTACTGGATTGGGAATTGTATACCAAGTTCAGCATTATTTGGTTAGCAGTTTGAAAAAAATCAAAAGAATGGAAAAGAAAACATCAAAAAGTAGGAGTCCTCTTTAAAGGGAAACACATGAAAATAATTGAATAGGCTCAGCAGAATGTAGTTACCTTCGTCTCTAACTCTGGCTTCTGATTCAACCTGAATAAGTTCTACCTCTGGTGAAAAAGGAGATGCATAAAACCCATGCTTTAGGATGCCAGATTCTTTATGTTCCCCACAAATCTGCACAGATGAAATTGCTAAATCATCTAGAGCCAAAAATGTTTAACAAATGTGAAGGAATTGAAGATTTCAGAAATCACAACATAAGATTTATAAACAAAGGATACTAAAAGAGGGGTCTGGATTAGTATCAAGAATAATGAAAAAACTTACATCACAGTGGAAAACATCATCAAGATTGACCATAGTGCAGTTTGTACAAAACCACTTCAAAATCTCTATGTGCTTTTGTACAGGCTCCCAGTCACTGTCATCCTCATCATCATCATCAAATGCATTTTGGTCATTGAACATATCCCGCAAAGTCAATTCTTTTGGCAGTCTCACCTTTTTCTGCATACAAACCTCAGAGTTAATTCAACACTTGAGAAGCAACATAACAAGAACCAACATCCACAGCAACTATATCTTTGAAATTAAAGAAATTCCTGAAGTATGCTGCTTACAGAAGCATTGTCGAGCTGTGTGTCTTCGTCTACATTGGCAGTCAAATCTCGACCTGATGCTCCTATATCCCCTCTGGCATCCGAACCATTATGACAAGAAGCTTCTGCGTGCTCATTAGATCCCAAATGTTTTCTTTTAAAACCTTGGTTGCTCTCAGTCCCCCCATTTGTCACACAACTCACTCGAACTGTTTCAGAAACCATATTGATTTCAGAGTTCAATAGATTTCTGCCAGACTCATACCTTTATTTGAACTCCAATCATCTGCCAATGAAATTTAGTTTAAAAAAACTTAATTAAAACATATTACAAGGGGCAGCATAGGAGAGCAGAAATATGAAATTTGGAAACAGAATTAAAATAGGAGAGAAAATAACAAAACTTTTCAAATTTGGAAAAATAAACAGTAGAAAAAGGGATAAAAATACAAATTCCAAAGACATCAAGCAGATAAAAAAAACAATTAACTCAGGATTTGAGATTATTTCAAACAACATTGAAATTGAGCAGAACCAAGTTATACTACACATCACATTATACAATATACCTACAAATACCAATTAAATTAAGAGCAAAAATTACAAACACTTAGCTAACTAAAACTACCAAGTACCAAGGGTTTAAACTAATTACCAAAAAATTAGTCAAAATTATGCTCTTTTTTTCACTCAAAAGGTTGAGCAAAGAAACTGAGATTTAAAACAATTAAAAAAAGCTCAGCTACAAATAAATTTCGAAGGAAAAATGTACTAAAGAATAAAAACCCACATAGAAATTCATAATAAAAAAATAAAACCAAGAATAGGAATTCTAAGGCTTCATCACAACTAGAAGAGTGGCTCTAGCGAGATTACTTTTTGACAAAAATCTAGCCTGCATAAGTACATAAAGCTCTTTTTTTCAATAAAAACACAAATATATAAGGAAGACAAAGAGAAGAATTAAAAAAATATTTTCTTCTGTTCATTTTTACCTGGCTAGGGCAAACTGTGGAGGGTCTCGAAATGTAAATTTGGTGTTTTTGAGAGAGGGAGGAAGGGTGGCGATTAAAACACTATTGCTTGTATATTTAATGTAAACTACGTTTGTGTCACTAACTTTGTCTGTATTTATGTTCGGATCAGTCAACTTTAAAAAAAATCAATTCCATCATTCATCTTTCAAATTTCAAATTTCACTCATCTCATTCTTTTTAGTTGTTCAACCATTAAGGGGTGTTTGGTTCAATGATTGTGGGATTCTCATGGATGGAATCCCACATTCTCATGTTTGGTAGGCCGAGATCTATTACCGATAATGTTTTATTATCAATAGTAGATTTTTTTTGGGTATATTACCGGGAATGTCATTACCTCTCTTCCCTTAGGTATTGTAACATTACCGGTGTTTGGACTAAAATGCCCTTAAATTTTTATTTTTTTAAAAAAAATATCTTTCTTCTGTCATTGAATAATAAAAATTCTATGAAGGTTAAATTACAAATTTATCCTTAAATTATTTTATATTTACAAAAAAATTCTATAATTAAAATTTTATATAAAGTTCAGGGATTAAAAACAAATTTTACCCTTTCATTAAACCTTTTTTATATTTTTAATTTTGTAAAAAAAATTATATAAGTATTATGAATTTAATTTTTTTAAAGAAAATATATAAATATTTTACAATTTGTAATATTATATAAATATATAATAAGGATAATTTGGTCAAATATACATTCCAATAATCTTTTATTCCAATTATCTTTTATTCCTTTAACCAAACACGTAATCTTACATTCCTGCAAAACCAACCAAACACAAAATACAACATTCTCAGTAATCATATTTCTGGTAATCTTTTATTCCCACTGTAATCTTACATTCTGTGAACCAAACGCACCCTAAGTGCGAATTTGGATGACTAATTTCAAAAATATATTATTTATTTAAATATTAAAAATAAGGAATTTTCAATTTAGAGGGACTGGTGTTTTGCTTTAATATTTTAGGTTAATTTTTTAAATCACCTCAATAATTATAAATATTTCAATCAATTAAATTTTATAAATATATATATATATACTATTTTATTAAAAAAATAAAAATATATTTTTTTACAATTTTTATCAATAATACAATTTCTTTTTTTATTTATCTTGGGTAGTACAAAACAATATTTGTTAAAATATATTCAATTCTTGATATTTAAACCGAAACCTTAAAAATAACAATAATTTTTTCACTATCGAAATCATTTGATTCGTGTATCAATAATACAATTTTAAATAATTAATAACTAAAAGAAAGATCACCATTAAAAATCAAAATATGATAACACTATTGAAACAAAAGAGTAAATAAGATACATAATAATTTTATATTAAGACTACAACATTACCGTCACTACCAAACACTTAAGTCAATTAATACGAAACTAATTTCGAGTTTACACCTCGTCTATTCATCAATTAATCTAAATTAGATATTACAAAAATAAGGATAATCCTCTTAATCCAATTTGCTTCATTTGTAAACGTCAAGATTTGAATCTCTAATTTTATTTAAAAAAATCTAGTACCTCATCACACTAAACAAATCAATTATTAGTAATGATTTTAATCTTTATTTAAAAAGTAAAAGGGTAACTTTTACCTTATAATATACTCAATTTATCATTTTTGCATTAATTTAGCCCTCTAAATTGTTCAATTGCATCATTTTATATTTTATCCCTAATAACCCTAAATTATAACTCCATAACCTTTAAACCAAAACCCTACCTTAAGATTTATAATTTAGGATTTTAAGTTAGGGTAAAATATAAAATAATGTAATTAAACAACATTGAATCATTAAATAGATAAACTATTATGGTTCATACTAAACAACTTTGAATCTTTAAATCATTAAATTAATGTAAATAAATACGAAAATGATAAATTGAGTATACTACAAAAATAAAATTGACCATTAAACCTTATTTAAATCATTAAATAGACAAACAACTATGGACACCATTTAAGTGGGACATGAGCCAGAAGCCTGGCCAGACCCCACAAACAGCAGGAAAAAAATTGTGACCCCCAATATTGGTATACAAAAATATTTACTCTCCTGAGAGTTTTTGAGGCTATATAGATAGATAAACACTATGCAGAAACTACTGTATTCTCTTGACACTACATGAGGCGTATAGATTTGTTCATTTCATTTTCATCCAGCAAAATAAATGGAAAATTATGAAATTCCGTAGAAATGCTTGAAAGGTGAAATATATAGCTTTATTTGGATACCTGAAAGATGAAATATGTTTCTCGACCATAGCTTTCTGTTCGGTGCTATAGGTGTACCATCTTTCTTTAGCTGCAACTGAATCCCTGACCTCAATATCTGCACATTAGCAGAAACAAATGAAATGGCAATTCGGTTGAAAGCGGATGAAACTCGAATTTAGGATAATCAAGTATTCTACAAACCTTGAAGCTGAACATCTGTCTCGCCAAAGTAGCCACTCAATCTCCAGAATTTGAGAAATTTGTGACCCTGGCCATCCTGAAATACTGGCTCTGACGAACAGCATCTAATCGACAGTCCTCTTTCGGCATCACTTGTAAAGTAAATCATGTCAGCCAGAATATGCAAATAGGGATTCGTTTGTAAAGAAAAGTTAATAATTCTTAATTGCTATAGAAAAGCAATACATTTTAAAGTTTGGTCACTGTAGCGACCCAATATGGCATCACAGATTCTCTGGATAGTCCAAATCAGGTTTAGGGGGTTACATTTTCTATCAGAGATCCAGAACTAAAAAAAATATTAGCAAGAAGATCAAGCTAACATCAATTAAGAAATGTGATTTGAGCAAAGTGGGCATAGACAGTTATTGATGTGTAATAAAGTAATACTGAACTAGCTAATGGCCATGACCCACATTGAATCCACTTGAAACAATATGGTGTGGTCTATGGCAATAACATTGAAGGCTAAGACTCCAACAATAGCTTAATTTGCATCTCATGATATGTGCCTCACAGGAAAGGATGCTTGGACAAGCATGGATTGACAAACACCAAGCAAAGAACTTCAGAACATCACCCAGAAAGAACAAACTAATTTCCATTATTTCCAGTTCTGGGTCTTTAAGAAAGAAACAACATTAGTCTATTCTTCCTGGATAACTGGCTCTTTTCATTTCTTCAAAGAAAAATGTTTTGACAAGCAAAAACAAAATCTAAAGTGCTTACTAAAGTTGCAAAAAGTCACGGAGCATACCCTCCTCGTCCACTGTCTCGGGCACTTCCAATGTACTTGCAAGAGTTTGGGCAACTTCCGACTTTATTCTTTTAATAAGGGCTTCATTCTCGGAAATGAAAAGAGGAGCACCATTTTTCTTGATAATAGCTTTGGCTATCTCATCCTGCAACTTCTTCATCTCTTTTTCCATGTTTCTCTCCTGCACAAAGAATACAATCAGACAAGCAGAGATACATAACATTAACGCTAGCATTTGCTTGAGCTAAGTTGCCATATCAAAGCCATTATCCTCTCCCTTCGAGTAAGAAGTTTTTCTTTTGCTTTCTTTTCTTTTGCAGCGAATTTCGAGTTTTGTTGATCAATCCAGCTTCTAAATTCTCTGAAGGGAAGAAGCGTTACTTTTCATCAATACATTAACATAAGAATCCAAAAAGAATAATGTGACCAGAATTTATTGAAGAACTTTGTGACTTACGTGGTGCCAAGAGCTTCATCACATAGAAAATTTTAGAGCCTGAGTTTTTTAGAGGAATTTAGTCTCTGATATCTATCATCGCTGACATCTAAGCAATCCAACAGCGACTGCTTTAACAGAGTTTGAGAACACTGATGTATTCTCCAAGAACTTGAACCCATGAATCTTGACTAAGGCAAGGATACCTGCACAAATATTTAATTCAGATGATCAACATACCAATTAAAAGAAGGAACTTAATGTTTATGGTCATTCGATTTAAGCATGCATGCTCTTTTCCCAAATCCTTGTGCATCATGAAAAGCAGTTGAATATGAAACTGCACAGTCAAAGGAAAACGTAGTTTGTTTTTGCGTTTGCTTTTTCCAATAAATAACTCGCTAAGTAACAGCTGAGATTGTCCTTTCTTCATATTGAGAACCTTAAATCAACCAATAAATCAGATAAAAACAACAGAAAAGAAGCATAATTTAACCAATTAGGATTTGCTAAACAAACAGATAACAAGTTTACCTCTCCAAAAGCTTCACAAAATTCTAGAAATTGCAAAGCATGGCCGACATCCTCAGCAGGCAAGTCAATGCCATTAATACAGTTTAGAAAAATGTAGAAGAACAAGTTATAGTCAAAAGGTTTCAACAAGAATCTTGACAATGGAATTTTGTAATATCCAGCAAGTCTGAGAATGTTTCCAAAAGCAAATAGCTTAGAAAAAATGGCAGAAGAAAACCTGTTCAAGAGGCATTTGCGACAAAAATGGATGGTACATTGCTTATCGTTGATCTTTCTCTTGCAGGATGCTGCAAAATCCGTTGTTTTTGTCCAAACACATTATTCTTTTCAAGTAAACAAAAAATTGATTAAAAAAACATCGAGCTAAATAAAAATACCTGGTGACAAGTTTTGCCATTATAAGAATCATAGATTAGGTTGTGAATGAGTCGAACTCCGGGCGAACTGTTTCGGCGACGTTTTGGACTGAGAATTGGAGCAGTTGAGCAATCCGGCTCAGTTGTCCGAGTTGTCTTAGTGCTGTTGGTGTTGCTGCTCTTATTCGTATTCTTCTTCTTCTTAGATGAAGGAGAAATGGCCATTTTTTTAAAATTTTCAATGTGAATTGAAAGAACAGTAAGACTAATTAAAATAGCTCAAATTATTGTCTGCATCTTTAGTTAATTTCGCTTCTAACATTTAGGTGGCGTTTGGTTCGCAGGAATCTCTTGGAATTAGAGGGAATTGTAATTTAATTCCATCACTTTTCTGTTTGGTTCAAGTTTTTAAAGAGAATTTGAATCCTTCGTGACTTCAACTTTTCATCAAAGGAGTGAAAATGAATTTCATCCATTGTATGATGGAAATCAATTCCCTTGTTGAAGAGATTTGAAATTTGACATACTACTCTCATCAATCTTTTGGTAAATAATTCATATATTGATTTTTTTTTATTATTTCGGGTGGGTCAGTTTCTAATTCATATATTCGGGTCGGATCGGGTGAAACTTTATTTTAGTCGGTCGGGTCGGTTTTTTAAGTGTGATATTCGGGTCGAGTTCGGGTTTAGGGTGAAAAATACCATACCCGACCCGAAAATGTATATAATTTTACCTTATATATTTATGAATAATTACAATAATACCCCTCTATATATAATTTTTTTCAATTAAGTCACTGTTTTTATTAAATAAAAATAATTTTTTATTATTTCGGGTCGGGTCTCTAATTCATATATTCGGGTCGGGTCAGATCGGGTAGGGTGAAACTTTATTTTGGTCGGGTCGGGTTATTTTTTTTAAGTGTGATATTAGGGTCGGGTTCGGTTTTAGGGTGAAAATACACAACCCGACCCGGCCCGAAAAAATATATAAGTTTACCTTATATATTTAGGAAAAAATACAATAATACCCCTCTATATATAATTTTTTTCAATTAAGTCACTGTTTTTATTGAATAAAAATACTTTTTTTTATTATTTCGGGTCGAGTTTCTAATTCATATATTCAAGTTGGGTCGGGTGAAATTTTATTTTGGTCGGGTCGGGTCTCGGATGGAGGTTCTCTTGTTCTCGGGTCGGGTGGACCAAAAATCCGACCCATGGTCATCCCTAATTGGGATGATTTTAACTTATGATGTTTATTAGCATGATTTTTATAATTTATTGAAATGAATAATCAATCAATAAAATTAAAATTTAATATTTTTAAAATTTTTATAATATATTACTACAAGTAATTTATAAAACAAACTAAAATTAAGCCAAAAAAATAAGAATGGCAATCCTGTCATTTTACATTACTAAAATTAAATTCATCTGACATGTCTGCGAACCAAACAGAATATAGAATTGGATTCCAATTCAATTTCCTGCCAACCAAACATAATATTGAATTAGATTCCAATTCCTGATAGATTTCATTCATTCACAGATTTCATTCCTTCATAGATTCCAATTCTCTCAGAGATATTCCAGCGAACCAAACGCGACCTTGTTTCTTTTTGGCTCCAGAAGGAAGAAAGAGATGAGTGAAACTAAAGAGGGGGAAAAATACCTGAGTGGGTTTGTTTTGGCAATAACCCATCTATATTTCGCCTTTTCGTTTTATAGGGTTAATTGCATTATATATCCCCAAACTACAATCCTCATTTTAAATTGGTTCTTAAACTTTTTATTATTTTAATTGAATACCCAAACCATGACTCTTATTCTAAATTAGTCCTTAAACTTTTGAAAATTATAATTTCATCCCTAGATTATGGCTCTATTTATAAATTGATCCCCAAACTTTTGAATATATAATTAGTTTCAATCATAGGTTCACCTAAATTTTGTTTTTTCAAACATATAATGATATAACTTGGTCTAACGGTTTTACTAACAATGACATGGTTAATATATGCATATAGATTGGGATAAATTGAAATGTTCAAAATGTTTGGGGACCAATATAAAATGAAGATCATAGTTTAGAGATGAAATTAAAATACTCAAAAGTTGACTAATTTAGAACGATAATCATAGTTTAAAGATGGAAATAGAATATTTAAAAATTAAGGGTCAATTTGAAATGAGGATCATACTATGTGGACCTGTGACGCAATTAACTCTGTTTTATATTTGGTAGTGTTTTCTAAGCCGGATAAAAATCAGTTAAATCATTCATTTTTAAGTTTTTTTAATAGTAACGAAGGAAGTCTAAAGAAAATTATAAAATTATACCAATAATTAGTTAGTCTAGTGAGATGAGATATTAGATCTGTTAAGTAAGATGGGTGGTTCAAATATTGACGTTATGAATAGAATAAATTAGACTACTTGATCTGGATTAATCAATCAATATATCAAATATTGTTAGTTTAATTTTTTTTTATAAAATTATACCAACAATCGGTTGGTCTTATAGTATGAGATATTAGATCTTTTAGGTAAGGTGAGTGGTTCAAATACAGACGTTATAAATATAGCAAATTAGGTTGGGAGAGTTATCCTTATATTGTACATTTGTATTATCTGATCTGGATTAATCGATCAATAAATCAAGTGTTGCTGGTTTAAAAAAATTATAAAATTATGTGAGCCACGAGGGTCATTTAATAAATGGCTTGAGTGCTTTTGTTGAGTCTCCTGTATTGCACTCTCATTTCCATCCCATTTCATTTCATCCCAGCAAATCATGAAGACCTCAATTTCGCATTAAAAGCAAAATTAATATAGCAAGGGCATTACTCATTAGCGTTGTGAATGAATTTCTTGGTGCAAAATCCACCAACTCTTCAATGGAAGAACAAAACACTTCCAAGAGTACCCATTAACAAGAGGTAAAATTATATTACAAGGAAAGGAAGCCTCGAGCTATTCTCGATGTAACAAAAAAACTTCATTTCGGCAGTGCTAGCTAGTAT